GGGGTCGGTCTTATGTCCTCTTTGTGGAGAAAAGATGGAGTTTACTACTCACATTTTTCTATTGTACAGGTTTGTCCGTTTAATTTGGTTCCAATTCAAGTAGAGTCTTAGGGTTCGTTTGGTACAAGTATTCAAATCAGAATAATTTTAATCATCATTTTAGAATTAAAATTAAAATTTATGATTTTAAGTTTAAATTATGATTCTAAAATTATGATTCAGAATTATGGATTTGAATCACCTTGAATCAAGAGGAGAGTAGTTTTAAAATCATGATTTGAGATAGTTTAAAACATCAAATCAGATTTCAAATCATGATTCAAAATAATTCAAACCAAACACTGATTCTGAATCATGATTCAAAATCATTGTAAACAAACACTGATTCTAAACCAGGATCCAGAATCATGATTTTGAATCCATCTAGCACCTTTAAATCAAATGCGCTTCAGTGTACCTCTATGAAAGATTTCGATCAAAGCTTCAAAAGTACGCTTGAATTCCTCTTCTTTGCTTTTTGTGCGGTGGAGACAATTTGAAAAGCTAGGAGCGACAAGGTGTTTAGTGGAAAAGACTTCAACCGTCACACAGTTTATACAGATGTTGTATTACAAAGCAATGAGTATCACTCTCTCTTAACCCCGAGAGCAGATCAGAAATATAACAGGAAGTTGGCAGACTTCTCCTCCGGGGTGGATCAAAGCTAATGTTGATTGCTCCTTGGGTCTTACAAGAATGGTGGTAGCCGCAGTGTGGAGAAACTCAGATGGAAGGGTGGTGTTGGCGGCCGCAAGTTTGCACAATACCCAGGAGCCTCTGGTTGCCGAATTGGAAGCTGTTCAGTTCGCATTAAGGACATCTCTAGATGCCAAGTTCTCGTCCGGTGCTGTTGAAAGTGATTCGGCCACTATCATTAAGGTTTCGTTCATTTTACTGATTTGAATTTTTAGTTCTAAATTTTTACAATTAAAAACTCTTAGAAAATATCACATTTAATTTTTTTTGTTACAGTTAAATTTTTTTAAAAAATATCATATTTTTACTTAAATTAAAAATTTAAATCTACGAAATGAACGGAATAAGAGTCTTTCGGGCTTCTTAGCAGATTGCCCGTGTATCATTAAAAAGTAAAAACATCAAAGTAGACTGACTACCTCAAGCTGGCCTTTATTTTGTTGTGTTTAGTTTTTTTTTTTTTTTTTTTAGGCGTCTTGGTGGGCTTGTGTTAGTTGTGCTGGGTCTGTTTGTTTTGTTCGTGATGTGTTTGTCCTTCTTCATTTTCAGTAGAATGGAATATCTTTTTAGCAAAAAAAGAAAAAAAAAGGTTTAAAACAGATATCAATTCATCAGAAAAATAAAACACAATAATATAAAATAAAAAACATTTACTTTTGAGTAATTTTGATAAATATCTTTTAAAATGGTACATTAAAAATTTTTAGATCTTAACATTTACTTATTGAATTTTACCTCTTTAGAGTAAATAATTTAACTGATTATTATCAATAATTTGATACATATCGCCGGTAGTGGGTCTCAAGTCACCGGTGGTGGGCGTAATTTAACATATTATTATTTAAAATTTAATAAATTATTATTAAAGGGATAACATATCATAATAAATAAAATTTCAGAAAGATATGTTTAAGGGTCAGCAATTTTCTCTTTACTACTTTCTAGTTGATAATTGGTGGCTAATTTAATGGGCTCACAGGTAAGCGGATGGAAGACGATATCTATGTTTGGTAAGCTGCCAGTTAACTGATATCATCTGGACATTATTGGGCTTGTTGGACATCGGTACTTGAAGCCGAGACTTGTTGTCTTTATATGGCCTGATCGAGAAATCACGAGAGAAATAGAGAAATAGGTCAAGACTTGAGATAAATTAAAATTAATAAGTCAATAATTTACATAAGTTAATAAATATGCTAAATTACTGTTTTCGTCCATAACTTGTCAAGTTATGGTTACTTGTCTGGTTATGAACCATAACTTGACAAGTTATTATCTATAAATTACGATT